GCACTGCAGAGCATAGTGGACCTTCAAAAGGGTGGGATCCGTGAGAATGATTACAGAGACGCCCCAAATTACCAGCTGGCTCATTCACTCTGTGAGAAAAAAGGTCAGCGCTACCATTTTATACTGAGGGTGGCCACTAAAATCCCGAGGAGGGAGAATTTCACATATCACTGATTATTCGCTTGGTAATTTTAGCCGGATCTTCATTCTTTCCTGGGGGCCTGCATAAATCAGTTGTAACCAACTGTGCAATTATCATTCTTGCAACCGACTGCTTGTGGCAGAGTTAAATTCCATTTTGCAAGGGAGCCAAAAAATTGTCCTCTGCCTCCCGAGCTCAAAAGCCAGAAAGCAGCTGAAAATGGTCACTGCTTTGTTCTTGAATGGAGCTAATCACGGAGCTGTCTGGGCAGGACAGGCACTGGGCGGTCGGTGCGTAAATAGGGACAATTAGGGCTCATTGTAAGCCAGACACTACTTCTAAAAAAAGAAACAGAGCTTCCGTTTTTAATTACTCTCATAGGAATTGTTACATTGAACAGAACCTGACCATCGTTTTTTTTCTCTCACAATTCAGTTCAACAAACATGACAACTCTGTCATAAAAATGTTCTAATTTTAACATTTCTACAGATGGTTTGGTAAGAATGCGAAGTTTAACTCCTCCCTTCTTTCCTCACTAGATTTATTTTAATCCTGCATTGCCGTCGGTTTAAAATAACTTGCATAGTATTGAAATGTGTATGTTCCTACACCTTCTTAGAATCATTATTTTTTAATTCTTAAAATTTAACCAAGCAGCCATTTATTAAACCTTATATACAGGGGTGGGCAAAAGTAGGCTTCCAGTTGTGAGTACATGAAACACGGAGTGTATTCCTGTATTATGTATTAATTATTGCATCATTCGTGCGTACTCACAACTGGAAGCCTGCTCTGCTCACCCCTGTATATAAGGTTTAATAAATGGCTGCGTGGGAAACATTTTCTTGCTTAGTGCTTACGCCCGCTTCATGAGGACTGCTATTCTCGTTTTACCGTTCAGGAAGCTGAGGTGTGGTTACTTGGACAAGTCACTCACCTGGTAAGTGGTGGAGCCACGGTTTGAAACCAGCCCGCCTCCGGAATCCTCTCCTGCCGGTGGAATTTAGAAAGCAAGTGGTGCCTGCCCCTGGGAAACCTGGCTGAGCCACTGTAGGAGCTTTTGCCGTGTGGGGGGGGCCGCTGGGAGGGGACGTGGTGACAGCACAGAGCAGGCACCCGAATGGTTTGCGAGATGAGCAGGTGAATGGACTGGTGTTTCGCTGCATTGTAGCTGAATGGGACCAATCACAGATGCAGGCGACACAAGGAATACGCTGGGCTGGACCCAGTGCAGAGGGCCCATCGAAGGGGCCAACTGGGACGACTCCCATCGCCCCTGGGACGACTCCCATCGCCCCTGGGACTCCCGTCGCCCCCGGGACGGCCGCCTCTACGGCCTGCTTCCCTCTGCCGCTCACGGCTGGTTTACCCCACAGCTCCCCGGCTCTGTAGACACACTGCCTGGCCTGAGTTTCCTCGTCTGTTCAACGTGAGGCCTGAACTCGGTAGCGGCAGGACCGTGCCAATCTCAGCCTCTGTTATGCTCCGAGTACGCTCTCCCAACCCTGAACATAAATATTTTAAAGCAAAAACCCGGCGAGCAGGTTGGGAAGTTCCTAACATTTTCTTCTGTGTGACTGCAGCATTCTCTGTTGTGTGAATGTCACAAAAGACATCCGTGTCCTTAAGGCCACTCATTACCTCCCTCCCCTCCCCTCTCCAAACGAGGTCATGCTCACAGGCTTCTTCAAACTCTACCACGGCATTTTCTCAGGAAAAGCCCTTTCACAGCAGGTGGACCAGCAGTATTAAACTGGAGGCTCAGTCTACACATGCCGATGCGCATTTCCGTCAGTGAAGGGTATGTCCCTGCCTTCTTCCTTTGCTCCGCGAACATTCAGACATTAAATGCAGCAGATGCAACTGTGAAGCAGTGGGATGCGGAGCTCCCATCCTGGCTTTGGTGGGGGTTTAGGTACGCGAATGGGAGTCTTAGGCGCAATGCAATGGGGGGAAAACGCCGGCTGGGGAGAAACTCTCCCACCCAGGCCGAGGGGTGGGAGTTTCCAGTGCCCGGGGTGAGGGGATGGGGAAGGGGGGGCAAAGCCGAAGAAGAGAGCCTCTCCCCGCGGGTGTCCTCAGAGGCCCCACACTATTTCTTCACTAGCCCTTTCAGCTTCATGGATCTCAAAGGCTCTAATTCTCAGCAGTGTTGATTTATTTTTTTTTTTAACCTGTAAGGATACCTGGACTTCATGGACTTTAAAAATGGTTTTTGCTGGTGCTTAAGATAAATGGAAACTATTGCAAATTACTACTTAAAGGCACTTACTTTCACTTTTTCCCTCCCTCCCTCACTCCCTCCCTCTCACTCTAAAATCAATTAAAAAATATATATCTTTGGGTGAGAATAAAAAAAAGCATAAGAAAACACTAATCTTTAATTATATTCAAGCTTAGAATATTTAAAATAAAGGGTAATTCAAAAACAATTAAATCAAGATTTTTCTCAGAATAAAAAGTAGGATGTAATATTCCAGTGGATTTTTAAATGCCGAGTCCTATTTCATTTATCACATCATCACGAAAAGCAAATCAAGTTTGTAAAAAAGTATAAATACGTAAAAATAAATTATCCTTTAAATAAAATTCAATTAGTCAATCCCAGTAGGTATTTTTATATTTACTGTCGACTTTGAGCATTAATTTCCTCACATACAAAAAGAAAGTTCATTCGTTAACGAGTATTTACTGACCTCCTACTATGTGCCAGGCATTGGTTTAGGCTTCGGGAACACAGTGGTAAACAAAACTGATGCAATTCCTGTCTTTATGGTGCTCATATTCTAATAAAAACCATATTTAGTATCCCATGGAATTGTTCAGAAAACTGGGTGCTATTGTAATTGTTTTTTTGGGGAGCCACAGAGTGCAAAAAACCCAAGATTCTTGAACGTGATGACTGTCTCACTCTTCCATCTCCCAGAACTCAGTGGGTTTTAGTAAATGATTTGAGTAGTTAGTGTTACAACACTGCCACACTTGACCACTAGAGGTCCTCAACTGTCACCTCCAACACTGATCCATCCCATAAATTATATTCGTTCACTACAATATAACTTGTGAGATAGTTTAGCAAGATGTTTAGGAAAGTCGGTCATATTAAATAAAATGTATTATATGAAAGACTAGCCTCAAGGGGTTAATTATAATAGAAAGCACATGCCATGTGCCCACAAGCCATGCAGTAAGTATTGAGCTGTTCCTGGCCCAATACAGAAAATTAAGAAATATTATCTGTTAATGTTTTATCACAGCAATTTCTCAAAACATAACTCTCCATGACCATACATAATTCTTTTAAGATAAATCAATGTCGAGATCATTTTTAATGGCTGCATGGTCTTCTATCTTGTGGTCATACCAATATTAATAATGTACTATGATTAATTTACTTACAGCCAAATCTTTACACATATTTCAAGATCAAGTCTTATTGTGCTTTTCTACAAGGACAGAATATCTGTAGGAAAACAGCTTTAATAAAACATGTCTTTATAGTTTTAGATTTACTGGAAAATGTTTTGTTAATATTTTCCTAATATTCCTCAAAATTTCATAACATAAGTTTTGAAATTTTACATACACAAATGGTTAGGAAAATTTAATAAGAATTTTGCCTAAGTGGTGTTTTTCTGTGTGGAAGTACATACTGAATTAACTGCTTTTTATAATTGCTCTGATCATGAATATAGGAAAAAAATAGTATTTCAAGACTGTTTTCACTCTACTGAACTTTCATTAAAACAGAATAAAAGAAATTAAAAGTTCCTACTATCAGTAGCTTTCTGTGAACACAATACTTGTGTGAGCTACAGAATTCTGCTTTAATAACTGATAAATTAATTCTATTATCTCAGAGATTAATGAATACAAATCTAGCCATACGGAGACAAACTTCTAGCAGATACAGCAACTTTGGGATCAAATACTGTTACTTAATGGCAAAACCTTATAATCTCCTGGTGCAGTGAAATGAATTCCACAAGTATAAGGAAGGCACTTTAAATAGTAATAAAATTAAAACTATTCTCAAATTATAAATGCTTCATATGTGCAATTTCTCACATGAACCAACAGATCAGAATATATTCAGAACACACACAAAAAGCAAATGGAGAACTAGGTATATGTTTACATTTTAATACTTGAGAAAATATAAATCTGATACAAACACTGCTGGCACAAGGAAAGAATTACACAAATTTGTATTCAAATAGAGTCAGTACGTGAACCTGGATGTAAGAATATATCACAACATCCTAACAGTCTGCTATGGAAGCCTTTTAAAGAAGTAATAGATTTTTAATCACATAGAGACAAATAGACTGCAGAAAGAACAGTAATTTTCTTTTCTCAAACAACCTCCCTCACCCATTAAGAATTGTAAACTCATTGCGGGGAGGAAAGTTAGAGGTAATCTACCTTATCAAGGCATTTTGAAGCATGTAAGCCCAAACAATGTAAAAACAATCAGAAGTTCATGTTCCTCCGAAGATTAATTTGATATATTAGTCACGTTAGCAAATACCTATTCCATTCTTTCCTGAAAGCACACATTATTTCTTCTTCTTCTAGTTACTTCACTAATTTAAGCTTAATATTAACTTAATAAATATTAAATGCAAAACATATTTTACAATATCTTGCACTATTTTTTTTAATATGTTTTTATTGATTTCAGAGAGAGAGAGAAGGAAAGAGATAGAAACATCACTCATGAGTCATTGATCAGCTGCCTCCCATGCGCCCCCTACTGGGGATTGAACCAGCAGCCCTGCCATGTGCCCTGACTGGGAATCAAACCTCGATCTCCTGGATCCTAGGTCAACACTCAACCTCTGAGCCATGCCGGCCAGGCACAATCTTCCACTAATTTAAAAAAAATAAAAACTTCTTTCCAACTTCAACAATATATTTTTTTAGTTGTGAAAATGATTAAGGACACTATCTCTTCTTTAACAGCATTTGAAAATATATTTGAAGAAAGTATCCTTCAGGCACTGTTTATTTCAAAAAAACTTTATTTTAGAAGGGTAAACTATACATAAATAAAAGTTCATTCAATGTGACTGTAAGTGGAGAAATACCCTACTAAAGAACAATAAGGCTGTTTATAAATAAAATCCCAATTAAAACAATATTAGAATTTGTGCATATGTTTAACTATATGCCTCAGACTAAAGGTCACTTAGTTTTATACAGGTTTCTTACTTTATAATCTATACAGCATTAGTAGTCAGCTTAAGATGTTTATTCTATGATTGCACATTTGTGTAAACCATTATTTTCCTTAGAAAACTTACATTACAATTTAAAATAGAGAAACACAAACCTTAACACTGAATAACCTATGATAACTGGTAATGGTGTAAAGTTATTAAAAATGCCCCTCAAACTTCTGAAAGTATATGAATAATTTTTAAAATATTCACAATCTCTTAAAAAACAATTTATAAACATCACCTTGGTTGGTGGAGTCTATGGGGTGATACATGATCCGGATGTGTTCCCTGGAGAATCTGGCTACAGAGCATTCAACACTGCAGATATGCTGTTACCTGCCATTGCCAAACTGAAGGCAGCACGATTGATAAAAGAAAACTAATGTGGCAGGAAGACTGTAATTAAAACTGGCATTGTGCCAGCTAAAGAAAAATAACCACATGAAAGAATTTGTATGTAGCACCATTCTAAGTGTCTAGTCACCTTAATTTTAAGATTGTTAAAATGCAATTCTGATATTAAAACATTCATGTAAAAATTCATATCTGTACTGGTAGGAAATTACCATTATTAAAAATATTTTCAATATACTAAAAGCTACTCAATCAGTTCCCCTTTCATTCACATTGCATGAATCCATCTAAAGTGAAAGGTGTAAATTCTTATAAATAATATGAAAAACCTTGGATTTTACCAAATTTCTGTTGACCTTTCAATACCTTAATTTGTTTCCTTTTTTTAAACCAAAAATGTTGGTAACAAAATATTACCAATGTTAATAAGCCAGTTAAAAAATCAGTTCCCTCTGATGTGGAAAGCTTAACAGAAAAGCAGCAAGAATTTCACCCAACCAGAGGAAGGCCAAGCTAAGGAGCAGCGGCCACCGGCACTCGGTGCTGTCTGACCAGACAACCCCATCGGAACACGAAGCGAGGTGCCTTTTGTAAGGCAGGTGCCAAACCGTCGCTATTTTACTAAAACGCAGTGACGAATGTTAAGAGCAGCACGGTTGCTACTAGCGGGTATGTAGCCTCTCTATATAAATATAAACCTATACTCAATATTAAGAAATACAGTAACTATAGCTCTAGCTCTAGTAGTGTTGCCTTACACTCCCCTTGAAGGGCAGACATTAATACAGATTCCACGGACGATAAACGTCTCTCATCCATTCGGACAAACGCCGGGGAGCCCGTCAGGGTGCGCAGCTGACGCCCCCTCCCCGCCTTTACTTTCTAGGTTTCTTACTCCCAGTCATAACGAAGTAACGGTCGTAGTCCTCCTTCTCCTTCGCAGCGGGCTCCCTCTCCCCACCAGCTGCTTCCTTGGGGGGCGGTGGCTTCCTGTTTGGGGTGGGGGCCCTGCCGCTTTTTGGAGGTCCCCTGGCTGAACACTGGCTCTTGGTGGCCAGCTGCGTCGCCTTCGGCGCAGTGTGTGTTTTGGTGGAAGACTGGGGAAGGCTCATGATGGACAGTGGGGTGCGACCAGGGGACCTAGAGGAGCCGGGTCCCATCTTCTGGGATGTACTTAGGTTCGGAGGCTGCTTCTTGGCGACTGTAACGACATTCCTGTCTTTCGATCCCTGTGCTCTTGCAGGAGCACCTGAGGATACAGAAAGTGGCTGGTTCAAGTTCAAGGCTGGCTTAAGCTTCTGAGCCGGCACAGCCCCTGCTTGAGGGGCTCCCTCGGGTGGCTGAGACCGCGTTCCTAGACCTGTGGTTATGGTTTGGGAACTGGATTTTGTCATTTTTGCAGGGAACTGGACAGAAGGAGAAGGCTTGGGCAGCTTTGGACACTTTGAGGGTGAATTCCGACGTGCAGCTGAGTGATATACTGCGTTATCCCTGGAAGATACAGGATTGTGTTTTGGGTGCTTTGGCTCCGTTTTTCCAGAACACTTGTTTGGCAGAAGTGTAGACTCAGGCACGTCTCTCGATTTCTGGGATGGAGTAAACTTGGCCTTCGGAGTACTGGGTGATGAGATGCATTTTCTCAATGACTCAGATACACAAGGTGCAGTCCTTGGTAGGGCTGGTGAAGAAATGCTTTTACCTCCTAAATTTAAAGCAGCAAGCGAAGATGCTGTGCTGCTGGAAGGAGCCTGTGGTTTCTTTGCTGTGCCTCGTGGAGATTTGAGTCTGAGATGAGAAGATGCTGCTGGGGAACGTGGCATCTTAGAACGGCCGGAGCCGGAGCCCAGGTGACCTCCTTTCAGGGAAGGTGCTGGCGGCAAAGCACCTAGTGGACGTGCCTGCTTTTCTCTGCTCCTTGGAATACCAATGGGCGTGCCAGGCTTTGACTGTTCTTTCTGAAACATGCCAACTGCTGACATCGGATTCATTTCAGGGGGCTGGGGTGTTCTGGCCGGCGAATCAGGTGCACTTTCATTAGAAACTCCTTTCTGAAATGCTAGAATTTTTTGTTCTAGTGTAGCAAACTGTAATATTCGACAGGGGTCATATTTAAGCAAAAATCCTTGAAGAGTATCCCAGCCTCCACCAACACGAACCATGACATGTTTTCCATGCAGCATCTTTCCCCCAAAAGAAAGTAAAAACAAAGCTGTAAAGCTGTAGGGTTCACAGTTACAATTCATTTGCAGACTCAATTTGTGATGCCTGTGATCTATGAAATTCAGAGTATTTGCCAATAGCTTTACTCAAATCGATAGTCTCTTCCCTATATTAAAATAATAAATTTCATCCATATTGAGTCATAACTAACAAAACAGTATCCTCCAATTTGTAAGGAAGATATTTACACACAACCTGCATCCTAAATAATCCAAATTACTAATGTACAAAATTGCAAGGGCAATATTGTTCAACAAAGAACTGAATATTGAAGGAATAAAAGAGGAGAAAGACAAGGAGAAATGGGAATTTACTTAAAAAAAAGCCTCATAAAAAAGAAATTCTTTTGAAAGATAAAAATAACTAAAACGTGTACTTTGCAGTTTAATAAATTATTTTCATATGTATTATATATCAATTTAATCTTTCAAAAGCTTTGATATAATTTATTATTAGTTAAACCTTTGCAGATGAGAAAATAATGGCTCTGAGAGACTACGGATATTGTCCCAAATCACACAGCTGGGCCTGGCCTCAAACGCACCAGGCTGCCCCAACCCAAACGGTGCTATTGTGCGGATAGGATACATCGTGAGTCTGCCAGTGAAGACCAAGCCGAGTTCAGGGCCCCCGTTCCATTAAGCAGGAATATCTGTACAACTGCATGAGACTGCCCTGAAAATTTTAACTCTAAATCTCATGCTCTGTGCGCTATCACTGTATCATATTGCCTTAAAAGGGAAAGCAAACTAAAAGAAAGTACACCCCACCCCACCAGGTGTTTCTGAGTGAGCTGGGTGGAGTGTGGGGACGTAATGACAATATATGAAATAAAAAGGGAATGTGGATGTCGAAATTATATTTTCATATACTTTTATATTATATTCCTAAGTTAGGAATAAAACAACTCTTGTATCATAAGTAGACAGGCTGCTGAACGGGTGAAACTGCAGTCTCCTTCCCAGCAAAGGAGAGGGTGGGCTGCACTGCAGATGGGACAGAGGGAGGAATGAACGTGTGTCAGCATATTGGTATTCAACCCGATGCCGTGTAGACGTAGAAAGGTTTTATACTAAACGCAGCATATGCATTACTATAAATGGCAGTGTTTCTATTTCCTCTTCTTATTACCAACATTTAGTCTTACTAGATGTACTGCTGTGATTTTTTTCTTATGATGATTAAAAATCATTCCATTTTAGAAACCTTGAAAAGTAGAATAAGTTACCTGAGCTATACAAATGCTTTTCCCCAAATTATATCCGATGTCAGAAGTCTTGGCTATCCTGCAGTTTGCTGTTTGTTGCATTAAAGGTGTTTATCTAAATTCATTATACTTGCATGAAAGCAAGAATTCCATACCTTTTCTACACAGTGAAATTCTTTCATTAATACCACCAATTTTTTAAAAAGTAAAAGGGGAGCAAAAGGAGGTTGGTAAAGCAAGAAATCCAATTTAAAAACAAGATCTGTATGTAAACAGGATGTAAATGGTGGACTTACCCTTATAAAGAGTATTTTATCCCCTAGTCGGTACCGTCCTTCAGATAAGTATTCAATAGAAAACCGATGAGAACACCTACAAGGAGGGTCTTCAGCAATATGTGTAACCTAAGATTGAACATAAACAACAATTAGTGTGTGTGACAAAAAGTGTTTTGTTTAACGTCAAAATGCAAGGTTATTTGATAGTTGGGAAAATCAAACTCAAAGATAAATATTTAAAGACAGTTCAACTTTTAATGGTCTCTTCTCCTTCACTTGTTGACAAATACTGAGATTAGACATTAGCTAACACGTTAAAACTAGCAGTGATGGGGTCCGAGTCTCTCCTCCTCTCCCCACTGCCGCCAGGCTTGCAGTGCACTCACTGACCCCTGGAGAACTCTGAATGAGAACGGCAGTAGAGTCGATTCAAAGCACATTCATTAAGCCACATTCATTCATTAAGCCTGAATTATTTTAAGCCCTGGACTTACTGTATCTGTGTCAAATCAAAGATAGGGCCAAACAAAGCTTAGGTAAAAACACTGTGCTAAATTAACATTGTGAGGGAATATCTAGATTTATTCCAAAGTTACTGTTACGATAGGCAGACATTTATACCTATTCATCCAAGATTGGGTAAATCCTAAAAATTCAATTCAAAGGCATTTTCACTTTGTTTCAATAGTCTGCTAAGAAGATGAGAGTCAGGGAGAAAACCCAACTTCTATCCTTCAAGAAGCTCACAGAATTTTTAATTGCAGCAAATATCTATAAAATGGTAAAAACTAGAATAAATAGTAAAAAGAAATTCAGAGATTCTATATTTAAAACACAGAAATTAAGAGAAATTGGTTAAATGAAAATATCTATTGAGATACGTTTGATTGAAAAAAGGGCACATATCAGCCACCATGAAAAATGTTTTTTCCCTAAAATTACATTTTTTTAAAAAGCGATGCATATTTTTCTCAATCACCTGTCACACAAAGCATCAAAACAAATGCATTTAGTCGAACTTATGCATGATGTTAAAGAAAGTCTCTTCAGATATGCCCAACTTAGCTGATCACTAACAGAAATTTATGATTGTCTTAATTATCTACCCAAAATTAATGAATACATGTGGATTCACCAGGGCCTGATCAAAAGGGTCCAGAATTTATCTCCCTACATCATTCATTTAACAAAATAACATGATCATAAATAGAACTGATTTTCACAAGGCATTCAATCAAGTTTATCTAGTGCACAGCCGTGCACACATTCATACATACACATCCATAAAATGTCTAAAAGTAAACTAAACGCGGGTAAAGAATTTATAATTACTAGAACCATATACACATTAGTTAAAGTAATCTGAAGAGGTATTTACTTCAGTCACTACTTTCTATCCATAAAGTTTCGTGTGCACAGGATTGCAGTGGCCGACTTCCTAACACTATTCTAAACAATGAATCTGGAAATAATTGTTTCTCACTCAAAACATGATCCCAAGTTCTCTGCAGATCACGTAAGCACAGGTGGACATCGAATGTACTTACAGCACGCGTATATTTAGAGAAATGCAGACTTGAAAGTCACTTATTCTCTGTTTAAAATATCCAAGTATCACTTACACTGAACAGTACAATCAGCACTAACCCCTCACCGAAGTACAGGGGGTGACCTAAAGGAAGTGAGCGCTGTGGGTAAGACGTGTTCTCCTCGCGTTTCACCTCTGCCTGGTTAGCATCCTAACACTAAAGGAAGCGCTAAAGAAAAGGAAAGTATCCGCAAAGGCTCTGCCCTGCTACCAGCCCTTTCCAGCCTCCTTGCTCCTAATAGCTTCTCTCTATATGTATACTTTACACAAAATAAGCATTTTCTTGCTGCTACACAGTCTTCATAATTATCACATAAAACGGTTGCTCTGTCAAGACACTGAATCCCAGCTTGCCTAGCCAACTGCGCTATTTGAGAGTATTTACATCGCCTCCAATTTTTCATCATGTAGATATAAGTGCAATAAAAACTTTCATTCATGCTTTTTCCCCTCTTCAACTACAATAAAGATGAAAGAGCAACATTTTTGTGGCTCTTGATGCCCTTTTCTCAATTTGTTTGTCCAGTTTACATCACGTTCCATTGCCACAATAGCAATCCCTAAGAGTAGTTTTACCAGAATTTACCAGCAACGGGATTTATAATTTCAAAAAATTTTGCTAATGGGGTGAATTGTATACCTAACTTCCTAAATTACCAGCAAGTTTCAACACTGTACTTTCTTCTTGTGTGAACAGTCCTCACTCATTTACCTACTGGAAATGTTTTTCTTAACAAACTGTATATGGTCTTTATATGATAGCGAAATTAACACACTGTATTCCCTATTTAATAAAGACTATTTTCCAAATGTTTTCCTTTTATTTAATCATCATTATTTTAGGTTATATGAGATTTAAAGTAAGTTTTTATTTTTACCTACTGCATCATCACTGCACCACATATTGATATTCACAGTCATCATACAAATCAATACTATGTAAATATATTTTGGCCTGATCAAGTGGTTTAGGCTGACATTTTCCTAATCTGTCTTTCAAGGCTACCCAAATGTCTTACTACAGACTTTTATTACATTAAACAGCATTTTCTAAATGTTTATTAGTAATGACTTATTTCTTAAATAACTTTGTACATTAAGCACTTTCATAAAATGCTACAATCCAACAAAGGCAATGAAATCTAAGCAACAGTCTCAGTAGAAAAAATGTCTGAGCTCACCTCCACCCCTTATACTATCGTCCCTGCAGAAGACACAGAGCTCAGTCAAGTGCAATTCTATTAACTTCTGCATAATGATAAGCTGTCAAAGTCAAGACTTTCCAGTTGGGACCCACCATCTGACAAGTCCGCATATATTCTGTCACGGGGAACATAGAGCAAAACCCCATCAATCTGCTCTCACAGCTCCCCGCCACCGGTACTCCCCAGTGTCAGCGCGCCCTTACTTAGGCGCCTCAGTAATCACCCTCGATTTCTCCCCCATTAGAACCACTAGTCCTGTCCATCCTACCTTCTAAGAACGTGGCATTTGTTCCTTTTGCTTTACGCCCACACTACTGCTCGGGTCCAGGTTCCCATCATCTTATGCCTGGATTATTACAATAAAACCAATATAACCGCTCCATGACCATGAGAGTAATCCTTAAAATTTGCA